TTTTTTTTGGCCAAAACCAGGGAAAAAGATCTTTTGAACACACCATCCACTTTCATCTTGCCTAGGTCTAATGACATACTATAAGGCGGAAAAGTGCAGAAACCAGGCCCTATTACACAGGCAGGGATGAAGGCCACCTCAGCAATTCTCCTGTGCTAAGGAAAGACTCTGGAGACAGGTTGGAAGATTTATTCAGCTGGTGTGAATGACCAGGTCAGATGAAAGTGCCACCCAGGTGGGAGTACAAGTTAGGAAAGAGGGAAGCAGAGATTTCATTACAGTTCATTCCATAGGAGGTGATAATTTGAAGGTACAAGGGCAGCTTTAGGGGCATCTGTATAGCTTGCAGGGAAGTAGACACCCAAAGTCAGAAAGACTGGGCCTCGGTGGTGCAGCGGTTGAGCGCTGGGTTGCGAGGCTGCCCGTGGCCTCTGCGGTGCCGGTTCGATCCCCGGTTGCTCCCCGGCCAACTGAGGAGGGTCCCACCTGGTGCGCGGACCTCTCCTGCCGCCCGCTGCTCCCCTCAGCAGTGTACTTCGGTCCTTCTGCCTGCTCTGCTCCCCGCTCTGGCTCTGGTGAATTCTCTCACCCTCCCACGCTTCTGACTGTACCCAGTGCATGTATAAACAAAAACAAACAAACAAACTAATAAATAAAAAAAAAAAACATGCCTCTATCAAAGTCAGAAAGACTTAGGATTTACAATACCCTTTGTGGGCAGTTCTAAGGGTTTCTGACCTAGGCTTTTACCTTTTTGCAGAAGTTGTCAAAGAGACTAACACCCATAGGATAGTCACAATAATCTGTTTTCTCAGGAGGCAGCCTGGGCTACTCACTGAGCACTATACCACACACCTTACTGGAAGAGCCCATGAGGTGAATAATTATAATCAAATAAAAAACTGTTTCAAAAAGGTTTGGACTAAAAGTTTTGGTGCTCAGGTTAGGAAGGCTCTCTGGGATAGCAAAGCATGATTAGAAACCATACTTTGTCAAATGTTAAAGCTAGCAGAAGAAAATGCAGACAAATACCTTTATATTCTTAGGATTTCTTAAACAGGTTCCCAAAAGTAACACACTAGAAAGGAAAAAAACTGAACTGAATAGTTTTATTCTAAGGAGGACACCGTAGATGAAGATAACACATCAAAGACTAGGAGAAACATTTAAAACATTTAAACCTGGGCCTCCCCGGTGGCATAGCGGGTTGAGCGCAGCGCAGTAAAGCAGTCTGCAGCCTCTGCAGTGCGGGTTTGATTCCGGCCGGCCAGGGAGATACCACATGACGTGTCAGACCTCTCCTGTCTCACCCGCTGCTCCCCTCAGCAGTGTATTTCAGTCAGTCTGCCTGTTCTGCTTCCCGCTCTGTCTCTGGTGAATTCTTTCACCTTCCCATGCCTCTGGCCTGTACCCCAGCTCTTGTATAAATAAATAAATCTTAAAAAAAATAAACAAACAAAACATTTAAACCTGAAACAGGATTAATAACTAGAAAGTACAGGGAACTGGTAAAAACTGAAAAGTGAAAGATATAAAATCTAGTGGAAAAAGAAGTTAAAGGTATGGAAAGGCAAGTCACAGCGGGGAGATGTGCAATGTTTGAAGTTGTCAGAGAAATGCACATTAACAGATATTAGAAAGTCAGTCAATGTCAAGTGCTGTCAAGGCTGTGGGTCAAAGGGAACCATATGCATAACTGGAGAGGAAAGAAATGGAACACAAGGCTACAATGAGGTATTTCAGGGTCTATGGCAGCAGAAAGTGGGGGGACGGGGTACACAGGAAAATGAATGAGATGCTGTCTGTGTAAGCTAATTATGTGATCCTGAACATGAGTGAAGAAACATGCTCACAAAAACACAGCCTCCAAAGAGGAGGCAGGCTGGGAGATTTGAAAAAGGAAAGAGAATGAGATCTAATAAAAACCATACAAACATGCACGGAATTCTGTTTTCTCAAGAGGCACAGGTATCCAAGGATATATATTTAAAGTGGATGTCTAAGGGGAGAGGGATAAAAGTAGGGATAGGAAATGAAGAAGAAATAAAAATACAATAAGGGAGAGTCCTACACAGCTGATGGTGATGGCAAGCACTGAGATGGACAGTGTGACTGACTCAGATTTGCAGAGTTGGGGTAGTCAGCCTCACCCCAAGACTAAAGATACTGCCCCTATGTTCTGGGCTCAAAGCATTATTATTGTTCTAATCCACCCTAGGATTTAAAAACAGGTGTAGAATGACTGGATTAACCTCCGTAATTATATACTAGAAGGGAAAGCACTACCTATAGGGCATAAGTACAAGAGTGACAGTGTATTCTGGGGTATATAATTCACTAAAGGTTTCTATTTTAGCTAGAAGGTTTGGGGATTCATTTCATTGACTTGGTCTAAAAATGACTTTTACAAAAGCAGAAAAATTTTTGAGAGTTAAAAATCAAAGTAATAACAATGCTCAGAGTCTCAGCGCATGAATCTTCCAGCCTAAGCTACCCAATTATTTCAGGGTCTACAGTTTCTGAGAATTTGCCAGTGTGCTTCTTTGAAGCCTCTATCAAGAAAACAAAACTTACAGAAAAGGAAAAAGATAATACTGGATGATTTTGCTCATATGTGGAATACAGAGAAACAAAACTAGGAACAGAAAATCAAAACCAAAACAAACCCTAGAAATCCGACTGTAGAATTGAAGCTACAAGAAGGGAAGGATGTAGGTTGTTGCATGCAGCACTGACAGAGGAATTAAGAGGCTTGGTGACTGGTGAAAGTCTGTAAGTTATTAGGACTGGGTATCTAAAATGGGAAGATGACAAATGAAAGCGATAAAGAAAGATGATACATACAAGAGGTTGGTAATCTCTATTTTTTTGGCCAGTAGTAATATCACACCCATCTCGCCCTGCCTAAGTATTGAGGCACATCCTACTTGCATGTTTCTCTGCAGTTGCCTGATAAAATCCAGAATTCCTGTTATATTTTAGTTTTAAAGTGACAACAATCTAAAGCCCTATTGGTGTGGAGCTTCCTGGAACCAAGAGAGATACAAGTAACTGGCTCAACTCTGAGTACCACTCAACCACTCAAGTAGATAATTCTCAGAAATTTCTTGGCTCAAAATCTATTAATCATTAATGGATTAGAATTGCAATATCCATGTAACATAAGATTACAAGCAGCAGATTCCTGGAACCACAAATTTTAGCTCTTAACACACAAAAAAAGGAAGCCCTCAATGGAAATCCAAATACAATCTTTCTAATATAGTTAGTCTTAAGGGAGTTATTCATGTCTAAGAGTGTATGTATGGGGAACCTCCCTGGTGGCGCAAGGGGTTAAGTGTCAGCACTATGAAGCTATAAATATTTAAAATAAAAAAAAAAAGTGTATGCATGGGAAGAACAGTCTCCACGGTTGTCAAAATTGGTAGTTAGACTTTTTTTTTTAAGGTTTATTTATTTATGCATACAAGAGCTGGGGTACAAGCCAGAGATGCAGGGGGGGTGAGAGGATTCATCAGAGACAGAGTGGGGAACAGAACAGGCAGGCTGACTGAAATACACTGCTGTGTGGAGCAGCGGGCGAGACAGGTCAGGTCTGCTTTGCCATGTGGGCTGCTCCCTGGCCAGCTGGGGATCGAAGTGTGCTGCAGAGGCTGCAGATTGCTTCATAGTGTGGTGCTTAACCCTTGCGCCGCCAGGGAGGCCCTTTTTCTTTTTAAGATTTATTTTATTTATTTATGCACCCAAGAACTGGGTGTAGGTCAGAGGTGCGGGGGTGGGGGGGGTGGGGGGGGTAAAGGATTCACCAGAGACAGAGTGGGCAGCAAAACAGGTGGACCTACTGAAATACACTGCTGAGGGAGCAGCGGGTGAGAGAGGAGAGGTCTGCTGCACCATGTGGGTCAGCTCCCTGGCTGGGGATCGAACTGGTGCTTCAGTGGCTGCTGATAGCTTCATAGTGCTGAGATTTAACTCCCTGCACCACCAGGGAGGCCCACACAGACCCTTTTTTTTTTTTTTTTAAGATTTATTTATTTATTTATACAAGCACTGGGTACAGTCAGAAGCATGGGAGGGTGAGAGAATTTGCCAGAGCCAGAGCAGGGAACAGAACAGGCAGACTGATGAAATACACTGCTGAGGGGAGCAGCGGGTGCAGCAGGAGAGGTCTGCGCGCTATGTGGGACCCTCACCGGCGGCCAGGGATTGAACCGGCACTGCAGAGGCTGCGGGCAGCTTCACTGTCCAGCGCTCAACCGCTGCACCACCACAGGAGGCCCTACAGACCTTTTTTGATACTGAGTTTGGATAATGATTTCTAGAAAATCTCAGAGCAGGAGAACAGGTACTTAAAGAGAGGCGGAGTTGCAAGCAGCATTAAAGCAGGACAGGGATAAAACAGTTCTTCCTATTATCTCTCCCCATCACTACCTGTGGTGTCCCCTCTTCCCCCTTCTATGCACACTCCTGTGACAGGCCCTGCATGTTTGTACTTCCTTATCTTCTTTATAGCCTCCCTGCTGACCCTTCAATCTTTCTCCAATGACATTCATTTCCCCTTTCAGAAATGAGCTTTATAATGAGGCAGAGGCCACATCTGGGCCTTCCCACTGAGGAAGACCCCCCACTTGCTCTTTGTTGGATTCCCTGGGAAAACACAATCTCTAGTTTTTTTTTCTTTCTGCTCATACAGTGTTTGGCTGGGAGGATTTTTTGGTTTACCACTCTGGGTGGACAGATTGGATATAAAAATGACACAACAGAAGTTAGTTTTCAGAAGCTGACTTTTTTAAAAAAGGTAATGTTTTCTTGTGGTTTCAGGAGTACTCTTGTGGTTTGAGGTAATTGGAAGGTACCATTAGATTTCCTTCCTTTTATTTTAAAAGTTTACCTGCCTTCCCTACCTGCTGGCTCAACTCCTGAAAGGAATAAAGGCAACTCGAGGTAACAGAAAGGATGGAGGCTTTGGAGAACACGGCAAATGGCTTGTTGCTACTCACTGCTCTGGGCAGGCTCCCAGGTCTCTTCTCAGACTCTTCAGATCTGTCTAGAGTAGTGTTAAGGTTTAAATGAGAAAACATGTTGCCTCTGGTATGGTGTCTGGCACTCAGAGGCTGTCCCTTTGAAGGCTGACCTCACCAGGCAGCCTGACTTCTCACTGCACGCCTCACCACTCTGTCATTTGTGTTTCTTATAGGGAGAGCTTCGGCAACAAGCCCAGTTTTCCGTGTGGCTTTTATTTGATACTTGTTCGTCTTGCAATCTGGATGTGTCTCTTTTTCTTCATTTTTGCTCATAGGCTTGCAGGGCAGATTCTATGTGAACATCCTTCACTTAAAATATTTATTTACTCAGTAACCATTGGGGACCAAGCAGAGTGTTGGAGGCTGTCACAGTGCTTGAGGTTTTCAAATTGTGTGCTTACATACACCTCCAATACCTTTGAGCAAATACTCCTTCAGTTGTGGACCCTGGCAAAACTGCCTGGACTACCTGTGACGACAGTTTTTTTTAAAAAAAAAACACTGTTTTTTTCTTTAAAAGAGCTCAGGACCTCCTTCCCTGCCCAGGAAATGGGCAGCAATGTATAACTCACTCTGTGCCCAAGGCCCCAAAGGAAGATCCTGAAAAGAGGTTGGGAGTCAAGGGAACCACATGCTCTCAAAGATTTTTAGAATGACTTTCCTTCAAAGGACTCAGAATTCTCCTGATTTCCTTACATCATGAGAACACAGAATCTTCACCATCTTCCCAGAAAGGAAAGAACAAACAAAAGGGCATAGTTACTTCTGGCCACTTCAATATTCGATAATTCTATTCTGGTGTCAGGAGAAACGTCTAATGACGTCTTGTTTAAATTCTTATCAAGCAGGGTAAGAAAATTAGGAGCAACGTGGCTTGCTAATGTGTTGTAGATGACAGTCACTTTCCTCTGGGGTCTAAAGGAAGGCCCTTCTTTTTGACCTTAGCTGGAGGCAAAGGTGATACCACACTTCACAAGTGCTGTTTACACAGCAGGTTTACACAGAGAAAGCTGCTGCCTGTGTTAGTAGTTCTTCACATTCTCATAAAAACAAAACAAAACAAAACAACAACAACAAAAAAACCTCCCTCAGAGTAAAAGACAAAGGTGTTTCCTTTCCCTCTTTGCTAATGGAGTACTGACAAAAAGGAAAGCCTCTCTTTGGTGCAGGAGATAGAAACTGAGTCCAAAATCAGAAGGGAGGAAAAAATGTCAACTTGACATAGGGGCATGATAAGGAGTACTAGTGGAAGATTCCCAGTTTGGAAGGCACAGAATCAAGGACACAAATACTAGTGTCAATATAGAAATATTTAATAATAAACAGTATGGACATACTATTCTTCCAAAGTCTTATCTTCCTCCTCCCAGTTCAGATTATTTGGCAATTCCAGCTATAGTGTGTTTTTCACATAATTTTGTTATAGGAAACACTTATCTGGTTAGTAGGTTACCCACCTGCTATCCCCAGGCACTATTTTTACACCCTACTCAGTGTCCACTTGGCTCTCCATCCAGTTGAAAACTAGTTCTCACTCTCAGAAATCTGAGCAGTTTAATCACTGATTTTTAATTCGGTGGGACATAATACTACAAAGAATATCAGAAACACTTAACACAGGCAGGTGTTGGTAGATGGTTCTCTCAGGGGAAGTCCCTAGTTATCTAGTCCCTTGATCCTCAAGGGTTAAGTAGCACTGTCTACACCTGGGAGTCTGTTAGAAATTCAGATTATCTGGCTCCATGCTCCACCTACAAATCAGAATTGCAAGACTGCAGGGTTGGCAATCTTGCAAGATGGGTTCAAACATACAGTAAAGTTTGAGAAACCCTAACCTCTTTTTACATAGGTCTTGGTTTTGACTATCTTTTGATACTTCTATTTATAAAAGAAAAAATCAGACAACCCAGGTTCCTAAGATGATAATTTTTTGCTGTTAGCAATTGTAGGGTAGTAGACTATATTTATTATCCATTCTTTTGGCATGGTTAAGAGAACTGGTGAAACTTACTCAATGCTCATGAAACCATCACTTCCATCTTACTTCATGTGAAAGGTGATTACAACATTAAGAGACCAAAAGGTATGAGAGAATGAGGAGATGAAGGGCTGGTAGTGGAATCTATACTTGTTGGTATTTGTAAATCAGTTTATATCAAATACTATCATTACTGAGCCACACTTGTCTGACCACAGTGGCTGCTGACAGACACAGTTATGTGGAAAGGCAGGCCTGCCCCATGCCATGTTGAGGATGCTGCCAAGAAGAGACATTCAGAACCAGAACCAGGGAAAACGATAAACTAATTGTCTGATGAAGAAACTGTTCTTTATTTTCTGGTTTTATTATTCTTGGAATTAAATTGGCATACTGTTAGTCACAAGTATAAAACAAACCTTAGGATTCCACTATCTCACAAAAGTGCTTGATCAGGGAGACATTTATTAATTTCTCTGACTCCAAAGCATGCTTAATTCCTACTCCCACTTTTTCATTAATTCATGTTCAAAAACCCAAATATGATGTGTGGAAGCAAAAGTGCAATTAAAGTATTGTAAAATGGTTTTGTTACACAGTATGTTGCAAATACAACTTCCCTCCCATCTTAGCTGCCTTTTTAAGCCTTAATGCACAGCCCCAATTCTCAGTTCCAGTTTTGCAGTCTACCCAAGAGGAACCTGTAGTGCTGGCCTTATAAGGAGCTTGTCTGTAATCTTTTCTGAAATCAAGAGTCCAGCCCAGGAAGTTAAGGCTGAAGGGCTACCCATCGGGAAGCACATCACTCATGCCATGTTCCATGTCTCCTGCCCTGAAGACCTGTGGTGATTTCCTTGTACACTTGGCCCCCCAGAGTGGTAGCCTGCTCTGATGTTGCTACTATCTTTGTTTATACCTTAATTTTTTCCTTACAGCAACTACTCAAAATAATAGAATAGGGTAAAACTTCAGTGTCAGTCACTGTCTTTTGTGGGGTTCTGCAGCAACTGCTCTGTGTGCCCAAAGGCTGGGCAACCTGGGATATACACAGGGGACACACTGCATATTCTGATTCAGAGCTATAAACCCAATAACTGTTTCTACTCTATATTGTTTTCCCAACTGAAACAGACACTCTAAATAAGTGTTTGTTATGGACTGAATTTCCCTCCTACCATTCATATACTTAAGTCCTAACACTCACTATGTCAGAACTTCAATGTGCAGGTAATCTCTGGCTTACACCCCAGTTTTTCTATGCAAAAACAAAACAAAACAAAACAAAACAAAACAAAACAAAACAAAAAGAGGTGATTAAATTAAATGAGCCCTTAATGTAGACCCTAATCCAATCTGACTAGAAAGCGTCAAAAGCCTGGGGTTCTAAGCAATTCTGCTCCCAGGAATCTACCCAAAGAACACAAAATCATTAATTGAAAAGGAAACCTGCACTCCTATGTTCATTGCAGCACTATTTACAATAGTTAAGATACAGAAACAACCTAAATGTCCAAAGACAGATGACTGGATCAAGAAGATGTGGAATATACACACAATGAAATACTCTTAACAATCAAAAAAAGATAAACTCATTCCATTCACAGCAACATGGATGGAGCTGGAAAGGGATTATGCTCAGTGAAATAAGTCAGAAGGAATAAAGAAAAATATTGGATGGTTTCACTTGTAGGAGGTATACAGGGAAACCAAAAAAGGGGTGGGGAAAGAAAAAAAAAGACAAAACTCTTAGGCAAACTATAAATCGGAGAATTACAGCAGGGGAGTGGGAAGGAGAAGGATCAAAACAGGGGAGGGAAGAGCACAAGAGACTATGGTGACGGTTCACGGGTGACTTGGTGGTAGGAATTTTATGGGGACTACACCTGAGAGGAAAAACAAACATTATACAAAAATGAACAATGATGTAAAATATATATATATTTAAAAAAAAAAATATATATTAAAAAAAAGGCCTGGGGTTCTAGAAGCCACTGCAGGTTTAACAGCCAGGCTGACCTAACATCATTAAAGAAGACTGGAGGAAGAAGACTGGAAGAGGAGAGAGGGTTGGGAGACTTAAGCAGGAGACCAGACCACCCAGGGTGGGAATTTGGACCAATGTAATGGGAAGACAGGAGGATAAGAAGAAATGATATTGTTCCAGTTGGCCAGATTCAGAGGTAAAACTCCAAACAATCATATAGCATCAGTGTTATTATAAAAATCTGCTAGCCAGGGAATCACAGTGGAAACTGTTCAAAGAGGTGGCAACACTCATTTGTAGGGACAAAAAGAGGACAGCCTTTAAAGTGAATTGGAGGGCCTCCCTGGTGGCGCAGCGGTTGAGTGCTGGGTTGCGAAGCTGCCCGCAGCCTCTGCAGCGCTTGCTCGATCCCCGGCTGCTCCCGGGCCACCAGAGGAGGGTCCCACATGGCGCGCAGACCTCTCCTGCCGCCCGCTGCCCCCTCAGCAGTGTACTTTGGTCCTTCTGCCTGCTCTGCTCCCTGCTCTGGCTCTGGTGAATTCTCTCACCCTCCCGTGCTTCTGACTGTACCCAGTGCTTGTATAAATAAATAAACAAACAAATGAATAAATCTTAAAAAATAAAAAAAAAAAAAAAATAAAAAAAAGTGAATTGGAGGCCTCCCCTGGTGGCGCAGGCGGTTGAGCGCCACTCTGTGAAGCTGTCCGCAGCCTCTGCAGTGCTGTTCGATCCTGGCCGGCCGGTGAGGGTCCCATATGGAGCAGCAGACTTCTCCTGTCTCGCCTGCTGCTCCCCTCAGCAGTGTATTTCGTCAGTCTGCCTGTTCTTGTTTCCTGCTCTGTCTCTGGTGAATCCTCTCACCCTCCCAGGCATCTGGCCTGTACCCTAGTTCTTGTGTAAATGAATAAATAAATCTTTAAAAAAGAAATAAAGTGAATTGGATGCAAGATGTCTAGTTATTGAAAAAGCTAGCTTTGTATGTAATAAGCAGAACTACGATTTCATTTAAAGGTACACTCTTTACTTTAAAATAATGGGATGGAAAGTAGCAGAGGCTCTGGAACACTTAAGGAGGTACCATTTACTAAGTGCTTGGTACATGCCAGTCACTGTACTGGGCAGTTCACACCCATCATCTTATCAATTTGCAGTTTCAGACAGCGCTAGCGACTGCAGGGGAGTGAATTCCCTGGCTTTATTTATGCAGGACCACCTAGATTATGAGGCTCATAGCATTACTTCTATCCAAGTTCTCATTCCAAAGAAATTCTTCTCCACTCCATACCTTAAGCTTTGATACAAACTTTATCACACAGCAAAGCTAACGGCAAAAGAGCTGACAGCATTTGCAAGAAAATATGCATGATCCTGGAAAAAACAAGCCCTGCAGAATTGCCACTGGGGAAATCTCCCAGCAGCACTTGTGGCAGAGCGTGAGCTGCTGCCCCGCAGCCTCCATCTACACAGCAAAGCTGTGCAGAAGAAAGTGGCACAAAACCAGC